TCCAGGATCCCAGCCCCTGTATTTGTGCGTTCCAGGGTCAGGCCTTCGGGGTAAATCTTCGTTACTGCATCAAGCAGCACCTCCACCTTCGTTCGACTCTTTGGATCGTTTCACTTAAAAAACCCCAGAATCAACAAGTCATCAATGTATCTCTTCCCAGAGATTAGTCCAGCATCCCCCCCAAGCGAACGAATGAAGCCATATTCGGCATACATGCACATCAGGCACGCCAATGGTGGGCTTGCGCGCCCTCCCATGGGAATGCCTTTTTTCTGTTTCATAACAGTGTTAGAAACAAGAAAAACTGTGTTTTCCAAAAAAAAAATAGTTAGGGGAAACACCTTACTAAGGCAAATCGATTTCCAACCTGGTTCTCCATGGGATTTTCCAAAATGCGCAATCCGTTTCCTAGAATTGATCGGGATCTATTTTATTCCTTTCTGATGAAACAAGTCAATCAACCATTCTACTACCTTTCGGATCGCTTCGTGAGGCAGTTGTGAAAACATTTCTTTGATGTCATATGTGCGAGCCACCACACCAAGTGCGTCGTCCTTACACTTCTGCTCGATGCTGCATACCTCATCTTTCAGGCTATTCATCGTACGAAGATTAAAATGCGGAACTTCGGCTTTCTTAATTAGTTCATTCAGGGCGGCAGATAACATTCCAAAGGCCGCTCGAAATGGACTGAGGTAAGAGGGGACAATTGGCCTCCTCTTCCTCTTATCCTTCTCCTTCGGCATTATGTAAGCGTGTTGAAGTACACCATTCCGGTCCCAATGGGCAATCTGGTCAAGTTGCGCCAACCTGTACTCCACCTTCATGCGGTTGAGGACTTCCCCATTTGTGACCGTGATATGTTCGTAGTTATCGTTCTTCAAGAACATTTTATCCAAACCTTCGGCATAGCGCTTAGGACATTCGATCCACGTTTCATTCTGGTTCCTGTCCAACGGGGACAAGACCAGTCCAGAGAAGGACTGTTTAAGCCCTTGAACATACTCACTGAGAACACACTGCGGATCCTTAGCCTCACCCTTCCTTGATACTTTGAGTCGGTCAATATGTACCTTTTTCTCACACAATCCCTTACCTCTAATGCGGTCCAGAGCTTCATTGCATGTCGTATCAATCGTTGTCCGGGTATCCATTACACCCGGAAAAGGTATATTCTCAGAGTTGCAAACAAAGGGGTGGATACCGTTAATCTCACTGATCTTGACCGCTACATGCCCATCAATCTTGGGCAAGTCAAAGTCAGCGCAACAACACTCAAAACAACAATTTTGCGCAAATGACTTCTGGTTATGCAGAAGATCGCCCATTGATTTGGCTTTGAGCCACACGGTATACAGATCAGCCAGTGAGCTAGGCTGGACTGTCTCAGTGATCCAGCTCTTTACCTCTTTTTCTACCTTCCCTTTATTGACAGTGGTACAAAACGGCAATTTTACGACAATATTGACCCGAGGGTTGATCCCGAACTTCTTCTTGAACACATTAGTGAGTATCCCCCGAACGATCTGTCGCCCCTTCCTCTGATTAATTGTCTTTACAACGTTGTTCATGTCAATCAATTCCACCAAGTCTTTTTTCCACAGATCCCAACGTTTCCACGGAGCTCACAGCAGTGCGATCAATTCAGCTTTCTTCAATTCGGTTTTGGTTTTTGTACGCAGAAGTTGGGAGATTTTCCACGTACCACCACATTCGATCTCAGACTTAGCATCCTTTAAGAGGAACTTGACCCCGCCAATCTCAATCTTGGTGAAGCCAAACAAAAGAGCAATTAATCGCCACGATTTGAGTCACCGGCTGCCGGGGTTGTTAGTAATAGCAACCTCCTTTTTAATCTTCTCTTTTGCCAATTTCTTAAATTTGCCAATTTCTTAAGGATCTTAAGCAAGTCTGGGTCGTGCGTGGTGTTAGTAAAAACACAATTAAACAACAGAGGTTCGTTAATCACAGCATGACCAATAATTGATCTTTTTCGGTTCCCTCTCGACCATCGGGTAATGGTTTTTACAAACTTCCCAGAGGCATGAAGCCCAGGGTTATACGCCTGGATAATATCCAATTCTACCTCGTTGATAGCCGCCTCGTCCCCGAACCAAATTGGGATCGGGACATAATAGTCTACGCCAATTTTCCTCAACCAATTATGGACCTTCTGCTTACTACCTGTCTTAACCGCCCTGCAGTGTTCAGCCCACCTCTCTTTGAGAGTCCGAGTGGTTTTTCCAACATAGACGAGACTATGACTGAGGGACATGAGGACATAAACACACTTTTTACCATTCAAGAATCTCTCCCATTCTCCTTTACCGAATCTAAGCCAGAACCGGACGTATGTCTTGCCCCACTTAATGTCCCCTCTAAGACAGGCTACGAGGATAATCAACACCTGCACTTGTTCCAGTACCGTAGCGATTTGCTGTCCAACGCACTGTTTTAGCTTCCGGATCCGTTCCACCGCTCGCCGGAGCGACGTGAGGCTGCCGAAGTTCAGTTTCCCCCGACTGTATCATCCTCGGCGGCGGCGTCTTCACTGCACCCTCCATTCTTCTTTGATGGTCCTGCGACCACTGTAGACTCATCAACCTTCAACTGATCTGTGTAATCTTGGAGGTCCAGCCTTGCGAGCTCCCATGCTCCCATTTCTTTTCGATAGTACTATATCCCTTTTTGCTTACACATCTCTTGCACCCTCGAGTGGTGCAGAGATTGGTAGAAGTCCAGGCGGATCTTCATGTAAGCAGCGAGGCCACCTTCGTCGATTTCTTCCTCATCCTCTGCGCATGAGGCATTCTGCACCAGGTCCACGTCATCTCCGTCGACTGGTCCATTCTTGGTTACCCTTGGCACGACCACTTTCGTCTTCCCTTTCTTGTCTTCCAGCCCTTGCATGAGTGCTGCGAGCATCTTCTTTATATCGCTCAACTCACTGCTCCCTTCCATTTTGGCTTGGAGATTTTGCTTCACTCCAACTTGTCCTTCCTCGTCCGATGAAACATCTATCCTTTTTGACCAAGATTTAACCTTTACACTTCCCCGTGATCGAGTCTTGACTCGATTCGCCGAGGGAGAGTTAATCACCGGTGTTTGCTCCCCACCCCTCTTTCGCTTCTCACTACTCGTAGAGTCCAAGCTCGCCTTTTCTGAGCGTGATTTCTCCTTCCGGAGACGCTCCAGCTCTTCCTTCTCTCCTGAAGTCAATTTCGACTTCTTATCCACTTCCTCGATTTTCTCCGTAATCAGTTTTAGCGACTCCCCAAGCGTAGTAGTAACCCACGCTTTCATCTCATCGTTTTTATCAAGCTTCTCGCACTTCGTCCCTGTGCGATTTTCACCTCGGCTATCTTCACTTGGAAGCTCCGTAATACGCACGCCACTCCTTCATGCGTTCACAATCCTCCTCTTAGCTTCTTCCAACGCCTGGTCCGTCTTGATACCTTCGAGAATATCCATGTATTCCTTGGTAAAGTATGCTCGATTGCCCAGTCATGGAAACGCGTTAGCTGCCGGTCCTTTACTTTCACGGTTAGAAGCGCCGCTCCCCTGATTTGTATGACCAAAGGCATGCTGGTTCGCTGAAGGAGGTGCACTTGGCAACTGAGGCGCACTCCACTGTGGGATCGACGGCCACTGGCCCACTGTTTGCCATGGTTGCCCGGGCCACCGCCCCTGAAGTGGCACTTGAAACTGAGGTGGCACGGTCGGCGGCATTGCTGCTGGTATGCTGAATTGCTGCGGAAAAAACCCTGGTGGCGGAGGATTTTGCACCGGGTTTACTCCCGTGAACTGCGCTGGTCCAGTCGGTGTGTAACCGCCGTTTGCAATCGGCGCGTACCCATTGTTGTTGTTTCCTTCCATCCAGTAGCGCACACAGTTCGACCACCGCCCTTTCCTACCCCCACCCCTTTTACCACGCCCCCTTCCGTACATGCGCCCAACCGCTAAGGTTAGGATGATGCCAATTCTAATTCCCACGATAACAGTACCGCTATTCTCCCCTTGCTTGTAAATTAGCCAATTATTACTCCTAGCACATGGCACCATGTGCAACTATAACCCCGAATCAGATGAGCACTATCCGATGCTTGATGGCAGCGGCCCTTCCGGGGAGATGCCTCCCGGAAGATATCTCGCTGAAGAAACGTCGATCGAGGTAGCTTTCGTAGCCACGGCTACGTGCGCCTTACTCTCGTGTGTCCAAATCCATGCTCGCCGTACAGAAGAGACACAGATCCGCTTGCTTAAAGGCGCCAACAATCGTCATATAGGAGTAATAACAAACAAACGAGAACAAACTCACCAGAAACGTAGTACGCGGTATAAAATTGCCGCACATGAAAACACCAAATTAAAAGAAGTTCAAGAATGATAATCATTAAGTCAATCGAGGCTTAATCGCCCCGGATAACACCATGCCACGATGTGCAACGATATGCAATACAAGACATAATAAACAGCAACGCACAACTATCAACGTATTGACAGTCGGCACCCCACTCTCGTTCCCCAGCCACGGCAAGGTCGAAAATGAGGTTCTATACCATGAGAATCATAACATGGATAACACAAAAGAAGAAGATGATGTGAGCATTACTATTGTGACACCAACATCTTCCCCCAGCATCACCTCAACTCACACTGTTGAGGTAACTCAATCCTTCCACTCATACGTCACTCAGACTGAGGTAAAAATCCCTACGCTACTCATTCTTAAATACTACTTTCCCCTACAACAAAACCAAGAGTATTCCAACCCTGAATTGCGCGCGCGGTAGTTTCCCGCCGGTACTTTACCAAAGCAGGCTGTACCCGGTCTGTATGCCCGTCCATCTATTTTGTCCGCTACATTGCGCATCCTTTCCCACATTGTCGTCTCGGTACCTTTCGTTTATCTGAAAAAATATATATACAGGGGATGTGTGATATAACCACACCAGCCTCGTATTTTACTGCTACCTCCTTAATCTGGCTTTAAAGCCACCCAGGTTCGCTTACTTATGCTATTTTGTCCGGTACATCGCCCATCTTTCCCATA